GAGGTTGATATGCCATAAAACAACTAACCAGCCAACCACATATATAAAAATCTACATATTCAGTTAAAAATAAACATCCTTGATAGTGGCTAACAGAATAGCTGAAAGTGCTCAGATATATAGAACATTTGGACAGTTTTTAAACACTTTATGTCCAAAAAAGAAAACACTTATATGAACACAAGAAAAATTGAATAAAAAGTTTAATCACAGTACCTTGTCAATCTTTTTCAATGAAACTTGTATAAAAGAGGGATTGCTGTCCCAAAACACGCACATAGATTATTTCAAATGTTACTTTCAGTGGGTACCTGTATTTGACTAGAATGCCCGTTTTTTTAAACAGTGTTTATTTTTTGTCTACTGACCTGTGCATTCAAGAAAAACTAAATAAAGAAAATATGTGTTCTACGCAAATACAGGTATCCACGAAAAATAATGTTTGAAGTAAGAAAAATATACCAGATTAAAAATGAATATCCATTAATTCTTTTGATATCAGTATATGTACATCAGCAGAAGGAAATGTAAGTTTTATAAAGTTGTATATCTACAGTAGGGGAAGGGTGAAATCAAATATAATAAATGTGTCAAATGTTTAAATAAATAGTCATGAAATGATAATGTTGATAAATGACCTGATAGTGTCGATAAATTCTGTGATAATGCCGATAAATGATCTGATAGTGTTAATAAATGATACAACTAAAAGTTTCAGTTGTAGGTTAGCTAGAGTTTGTCAATGTTATGATATTATTGATTTTACTGTCATAAACAATTTTTGCATAGTTAACACTGAATTACCTCCCTTATTTCTTTAATGATCTTCATATTCTGAACTAGTGTCTCAATTTCAGTCACTTTCTCACCAACATGACATGGTGTGGCTTCCCTCTGTCTTTTCTACAAATATTTTCATGGTAATTATTCTGATAAGCTATCCTCCTTGGTGCCTTGATTGCATGAATTTAATTGTACTGCTAGATTGGCAACTAAGTTTCATCATTTTACTGTTGAACTAGCTAGATGCAACTGTATGTTCTATTCAAATTGTTTCTTTTCTCACCTGTGGAACTATATTCCAATTTCTTTCTTCCCTGGCACCTACAAATTTCAAAAATTTAAATGCCAGTCATCATCTTCTGTCTTCCTGTACCCTATTCTTTTATTGTTTGAATTTGAAAAGTCATGCATCAGGAATAGTGTCTAAAAGCAATATGTTTCAGCTATTTTTTTTCTTTTCATAACTGAAAAGTGATCTATAATTTAATCTCTGTCAATATATACATTTTATTTCTGCTATAAGTAATGATTCTGTATGTTTCCTTGATTTTAATTCTGTTGCATAAATTCTTAAATTTATTGGTCACAAATGTTTAATTTCAATTTTTAGTTAATAAAAAAAAAAAATTAAAATTATATTTCTTATCTTTTTGCAATTCCAAAAGAAATCAGTCCTGTCAGTTTTTTAATTTTATTTTTCCTTTTTGTTTAACAATTTTTTACATTTATTGGTGGTCATATGTTTGGGATTATATTTCTGTTTTTTTTATTAGAGAAAAAAACTGATATGTATTGCATTTTGGATACTAAAGTAGGGTTCAGAATATGAAGCTAAATATAATGAAATATAATGGAGGTAATTCAGCATTTGCTTCAAGAAAATTGTTCAAAGTGATAAAATCAAGAATACTCTACTATTTCTATCTGAATTTCTGGGATGAGGAATTATTATTTACACTATTTACATTTGTACTATTTTCCTCATCTTTGTTGTTGTTGTTATCACAATGTTTCGGCTGTTATGATCTCTGGCCTTCCTTAGATGTATATCGATCCAGGTAACCTACATGGAATTCCAAACTGAACCTTTTATTTAATCTACGGGGAATCTCATCTAGTTCTTATTTTTGGTACTGCTCACTCTGAGTCCAGTTACACACTGTCTGACCCAGGGATTGAACTCACAATTACGATATCACCAAATTCATGGTTTAATCAACATTTTAATTCACTAGGCTATGGTCCCTAGACATGAACAATGGAATGAGAAAAGTCTACTCCTATAGAATAAATAAAAGAGTTTAGTTCAGAATTCACTGTGATTTACCTGAATTGATAGAAACCTGATGAAGGCTGGAGGTACATCAGCTGAAATGTTAGGATAAAAACAACAAAGATGAGGACAATCATCCAAATGTAAATAATGCTCTATGTTAAAGAATTTAAATATATTAAATCTGTTTATAATAGTTCTTTATTAAATAATAATATTCTCTGTAATTCTTGTCTGAATTTCTGGAATAAGGAGTTATCATTATTTACATGTGAACAACTGTCCTGATCTTATTTAGTCCTGCTCAGTTATTACTCATCTCATTTCCATTGTGTCTAAATACACACTGCCCAGCCCAGGGGCATCCTGGGTATGATGATAAACTATATCCACGTCCAGGGTAAGATGATAAACAACGTTCAACAGCAAGGCCTCTGATCAGGAGACTTTGAGGAGCGTGGAACCACCTCTTAATTGCTGGTGTTACCAGGTCCACCATGACCAAGGGTGATAGCACCTGTTAGGGTTCCAGCTATGGGCAAATAGTTAACCCCAAAACTGGCGTAAAAAGCGTTATAAAGTGTAAAAATAGGTTTTAATACCAGAAATACTTTGTAAAAAATTATTACCAGAAATAAATTTTTGAAGAAAAAAAATATTATCAGCAATACATTTTTGAAAAAATATTACCAGCTAAATGTCTTTGAAAAAATAATATTACCAGCTATACGTTTTTGGAAAAATAATATTACCAGCTATACGTTTTTGGAAAAATAATATTACCAGCTATACATTTTTGAGGAAAAAAATATTAACAGAAATAGATTTTTGAGAAAACAAAAATATTACCAGAAAAAAAGTTGTCGACATTAAATGACCCATTGAGGTTGATATGCCATAAAACAAAACAAACTAAACCAGCTCAGGGACTGAACTCACAATTACTATATCACCAAATTCACAAACCAATACTTTAATCCCATGGGACAATCCTGAGTGAAGAACCTGGATTCTTAAACCTAACCTGGCTGCAGTAGAAAAGTGAAGCCTTTGTGAATGCAGTCAGGCATGACTACCAGCAGCAGCATCGGCAGATAGGTTACATTTAAGGCTCCAAGTTCTTCATTCACGATTGTCCCAAAGGGTAATAAAGTGTGTATTTGTGAATTTGATGACAGGGCTGGGCAGTGTGCACTTGGAATCTGTGGAAACGGTGGCAAGGACAATAACAGAGCAGTACTAAAAATAAGAACTAGATGAGATATCCCTACACATGATCAGTGCAACAAGAACATTCTATCCCATATATCAGATAAAAGGTTTAGTTCGAAATGCCCTGAAGGCTTCCAGGATTGACACACACTTGATAAAGGTTGATGAGTGCAATGTCCAAAACGTAATAATAACAACAAAGATGTGGACAATGTTATTCTCCATATTGGTCACTTATACTTTCTTAGGTTAGTGACTAGGTTAGTGAATTTAACAAACTTTCTACCCATGCTGGATTTTTCATTGTCAAGTATTATTTTAAATTTTAAATTGTCTTTTCATTTAATCCAGAATTAAACACATAAATCTTACATGAATAAATAATTTTAATGTTAGTCTTTCTATATAAATTGCCATCAATCTATGACTTTTTAAAACGTTATATGGTATTAATATCTATATAGTTCTAAATCCATGATTTTATTATTGTATATAAATAAATCTTTTGGGTATCTTGTTGCTCTTAAAATTACATAATGCAAGTTTTTTTAATAAGTCTTCCCATATCTTTCAAAATGTATAAAATGTATATATCTGGTATTAATATCTTTGTAGTTTTAAATCCAGGATTTTATTATTGTATATAAATCATTTAGGTATTTTATTGTTAATAAATATAAATTGTTATATAAGTAAATAATGCTATTTTTTTTTAACGAGACTTCCCATATTTTTTAAAATGTTTTATATGTATATATCTGGTAATAATATCTATGTAGTTTTAAATCCAGGATTTTATTATTGTATATAAACCATTTGGGTATATCATTGTCCTTATAAGTAAAGATTACTAGTTTTTTCTTAATAAAATTTCCCATGTTTTTTAAATGTTTTATATGTATATATCTGGTATTAGTATATATGTAGTTTTAAATCCAGAATTTTACTATTATATCTAAAAGATTTAGGTATTTTATTGTCCTTATAAATAATTCTAGTTTTTTTTTTAATGAGACTTTCCATATTTTTAAAATGTTTTATATGCATATATCTGATACTAATATCTGTATAGTTTTAAATCCAGGATTTTATTATTGTATCTAAACCATTTAGGTACTTTGTTGTTCTTAAAAATAAATAATGCAAGTTTTTTTGTTTTTTTTAATAAGTATTCTAATATCTTTCAAAATGTTTTATATGTATATATCTGGTATTAATATCTGTGTAGTTTTAAATCCATGATTTTATTATTGTATCTAAACCATTTAGGTATATTATTGTCCTTATAAGTAAAGAATAGTTTTTTTTTTTAATGAGTCTTCCCATATATCTTTTATTAAAATTATGATTCAAATTAGGATCAAAATTTTAATTCTTTAAAAATCTTGCTTTGTAAGAAACATAAATGTTGCTTTTCATTTCATTGTGCATTTAAAACAAACTATTTGGGAAAATGTTCACTGTATTTCAAGATGTCAGCATTTGACTGATGTAAATATGAGACGTTTCTAAAATATGTTAATCATAATGTCCCTTACTCAAATTGCATCATTCAAAAAACATTCATTAATCAACATTTCAAATATTTTGATTTGAAATATTGCATAAGTGTTTAAATCCATTGAATTTTTATTTTGGTTTTGCTAATCTGTCATACTTGATTTATAATAAGATTTTAAACGTAAAAAAAAACATTTATTTTAAAAAAAATTGCTACGATTTTTGTTTTTAGCCACCTTTTGATGGAGAAGATGAAGAGGAGTTGTTCACTTCAATCACTGACCACAATGTCTCTTACCCAAAGTCTATGTCCCGAGAAGCTGTATCCATTTGTAAAGGGGTAAGTATTTATATCTATAATTCTCAAAATGTGTGTGTATATGTTTGTGTGTGTGTGTATATATGTTTGTGTGTATGTGTGTGTGTGATCGGATGTTGTTTATGCATTTCCACAGTTTTCAATTAATTTCAATAAAATTTTATTTTTGTCTGATAGATAATTCTTCAGTGTCGGTTTTGAGTCCAAATTGTTGGCAACAATGGCTCTCCACTACTTCCTATCCATTATAAATCCAACCAATGTTTTAATATTTACTCTCTGTTTTTGGATATATGGATGTTATGGCTATATTAGTGCTGGGTTGATTCTTTCACCTAAACATCCAAAACTTGTTGAATTGCCTTCGTCGCTGAAATAAATAGACAAAGAAAAGAAGGATACGGAGACACTAGAGGGACAGTTTAGGACACTGATTTTATTTCCTTCTTTTGGATTCCAACGACCTCTTGTTGGGGAATTTCCTTCCCGAACAGTTGGCACGTGTTCACCAGTCAAAGGTCCAACAGAGAAAGAGATAGATTCTTCTAGTTTATTTTTAGCGCCAGGAAATCTCTCTTTTTTTTTGCACATACATAAATTGTCTTTCCTGTCAGAGGACTCCTGGGAGATTTTTATGTTTATTTTATTTTGTATTTTTATTTTATTTTGTATTTTTATTTAATTTTGTACTTTTATTTTATTTTGTATTTTCATTTTATCCCCACAGATATATATCTTTCATAAAAACTAAAAATAGTTTAAATTTTTACAATAACATTAATTATTATTATATAGTTCCCTTTTCAGTCTACGCCCCCCCCCCATTCAAATTGTTAACCCACCATTTGGGAATGTGCCTCAGTTGCACCCAAATGTTGTTACTAATATTGATTTTTGGATGGGCTAACTTTAAACTTAACCTGCTCCAAATAAACGGCAAAAATTCCCAGTAATGAAAAACCTGGGCAAAGACGGGTTACCCTGCTAGTTATAATAAAATTGCAATTTGCATGTTCTCTAATGTATGCTGATACTTTCTGCACTGAATAAATTGTCTTTTGAATGGTGCAATTATATTTCTTTGATTAAATTAAACCATCCACTGACAATTGCTGCCACATCTGATCTGGTACTTCTAGATTCTGTTACATTGTTTATTTACAAGAATAATTTTATATTTGCAACATTCTATAAACTAATACAATGCAATAATTATTCTTTACCAATGAATAAAAAAATAAATGTGAAAACAATGTTTTTATTCATGAATTTATAAACATTTACTAAACTATTAAAATATGTGAACCAACTATAAGGAAATCTTTATTATTTACCATTTTATAATGTTTGAATTAATTTGGCAATGAGCCGATGTTTTGCCAATTATTTTAACAAATAATATAATAAATAGTGTGAATAAACAATCTAATAAACAAATCAGTTACGTGCCATGCATGATACATGCTTAGAGGATCATATATCTTTTGATACATGACTGACGAGGCAGATTTTTTTTCCCACAGTAGGTTGCCATTTCTTTTTGTGGTAGACCAGTTGCCATCCAAGGTTATAGAACCCAGTCTGTCCTGTTATTTACCCATAGCTGGGGGTAGAAGAAATTATCACATCAGTGAATGTAACAGTATATTTATTTCATATCAGTCAGTCAGTTATGTGCCATGCATGTTACACGCTTAGGCAATAATGTATCTTTCTATACATGACTGACAAGGTAGATTTTTTCTAGCATTAGGTTGCCATTTCTTTCTGTGGTAGACCAGTTGCCATCCAAGGCTATACAACCCAGTTTGTCCTGCTATTTACCCATAGCTGGCAGGAGAAGAGAATTCATACCTTTCTCAAGGGTATTAGCATGTAAGTGAATATAATGGATTCAACTGGAATGTCAGTCAGTCAGTCAATTATCTGCTATGCGTGATACAAGCTTAGGCGATCATGTATCTTTCTATACATGACTGACGAGGCAGATTTCTTTTCCCACAATAGATTGCCATTTCTTTCTGTGGTAGACCAGTTGCCATACAAGGCTATAGAACCTGGTCTGTCCTGCTATTTACTCAAGAAGAAAAGGATTCATACCTTTGTCAAGGGTATTAGCAGGTATGAATAAACAAATAGGGATTACTATTTTTGTTGTCAATTCTGAAGAACAAAGAAAATGTATAAATTCACTTTCATCATATGTTTAGGTTTTATTACAATTCTTATCATCCCTTTTTAAAACGACAAATATTGCTGAGGAGTGAAGGTAGTTAAAATAATAGTGGTGTCAAGGGAAAAAACTGTCATTTTGACACTCAGTTTCTTTTTTGTCCATATTTTCCTTCTTTTTTTTTCTATGACTCTGATTATTTGTTTTAGTCAGTCATGCTAGTTTGGACATTCATAAGTCTCTCACACCAACCATTATGGCCCTGCATCAAGGTCAGAACATCATTAGGGTGGCATTCTGTGTCAGAAAATAGTTGGTCAATATAGGTGGTTGCTGGCCAACCACCCCATTTTTCAATATGGCTAGGTGTCCAGAACAGTAGATCACTCACAAGATCTTGCTTTGCACACCAGCAGTGAACTTCAAAGTGCATTCTCCATTCACATTAGCTTGTAGAAATATGAGGGAGAGTTCCATAGAGCTGTGATTTAGTTGGATGCCACCCGATAATGACCAGAGATAATGAAAAGTTTGTGATTTACCCTTGGGCAATCATGTCTCTTTTTCATCTGATTCATGATTGACTTGATAGAAGGTTGCCATTACTTTCTTTGGTAGACTGGTTACCAGCCAAGTCTATAGGTCCCAGTTCGTCCTACTATTTAACCCATAGCAGAGGATAAAGAGATGAATTCATACCTTTCACAAGGGTATTTGTGCATAAGTGAATGTAACAAACTCAACTGAAATTTGAAACTCTGCTCTCTGATTTCTCATTCTGAGCTGCTATTCATTACACCACCTGCACATCCAAGCTTGCAGCACCAGGTATTCCTAAGCAGTCACCCATCTAGGTACTGACCAGGCTCAACATTGCTTAACTTTCATTGCTCAGCTGAGAACCACTGTTTCAACATGGTAATATGGATGTGTAACAACTTGTTCATAAATTTGAAAAAATATTTTTAAAAATTAAACAGATCCTGTCAGTTAAATTTAATAATCCTTATTTAAATGAATCCTTACTGCCAATACATATACATGTCTATTTTATATTTATATAATATATATATAAATATATATATAATATATATGAAAATATATATTTTATGATAAATAGATAAGTGGAAAGCCAAATTTAAATTCCAGTCAAGTTCGTTAAAACTGCTTATGCACAATGCTCTAAAAAGATATGAATTTATCTCTTCTCCCTCACTATGGGATAAATAGCAGGACATACTGGGTTCTATAGCCTTGATTGGCAACCATTCAAGATTAAAATCAACCATCTATTTTTCCCATAGCTTGAAGAGGAAAGACGGATTCATGCCTTTCCAAAAGTCATTAGTGCAAAGTGAGCATATAACTTGCAGCACTCAAGCTTTTATTCATATCTTTTAAGTGTCCTGTTCCTCCAGAATGTAGGTGATTATGGATCACATCTTCCTTTTTTTAATATATATAAATAGTGCATTATATAACTTCTCTACAGGTTTTAATTCAGACTTGTTCTTCTTCTAGACTGTTTGCCAACCAATGCTAAAGAGCTCTGCTTTTCTTTTGTCTTAACTAAATTTTCACCAAATAAAGGCCCAAGAGCCGCTCAAGATAGAGGGTTACTAAATGAGGTTATATGGACATGGGACAAAGAAGGGATAGTAAATGCAGACTATGAGTTTACGTATGATAGGTAATGGTTAATCCTAGATTGGAAGAGGTTGATTGTAATGTTTGAGGAAGCATCCTCTCGGGAGCTGCCCAAATGGAACTTCCTTATTAACAATGCAATATGAAGGGAATGAGAATCGTTTGATACTGTGCATATGGCATGGCGGGTTTTAGTTCTAAATTTATGAACTGAGGCATCTGGGAAAAGTAGCTCATCTGAACATTTTCCATGGAAGTAGCAATAGGTTTGTGATGTTGCATCTGTGGGAGAAGTGTTGTAAGGTGGAAAATAATTCATCACACATAAATCTGTGTAAATGCTTTTGAATTCTGTCAAGGCTGGAAAGATAAGATTGTGCAACTCTAGACCAGATATGTCAGCAATACCCTATTTTTGGTCTGATCTGACTTGCATAAAGATAGGGCATGGTAAGTGGAGTTGGGTATTTTCTGGAGCAGTACAAGGAGTTGGTGTCTTTCTGCTCTGTTATTTAACCCATAGCCTGGGGTGTTTCAGATGTAATCTAATTAATTCTGATGAACATTTCTTTTTGTTTTCAGTTGTTGACAAAGAATCCTTCAAAGCGCTTGGGTTGCACTAATAATGGTGAACGGGAGATTAAAGATCATGCCTTCTTCCGACGCATTGACTGGACAAAGGTGGAAAGCCAAGATATGCAACCACCTTATAAGCCTAAAATCGTAAGTATTTCTCTTTCAGTTTCATCACCCTCACTATGCTTTTAGAATGTTGTCAGATTCAACCGTTTTAGAGAAAAATAAAAATTGTGATAGCCTTTTAGTGTTAGGCTTCTCCTTAATTCAATAGTTTATAATTAAAAGGAAAATGAATATACAAAGGTTGCTGAAATAAATGCAGAATGTTTCCTTATAAGGAAATGGCTAATGTCATCAATACCAAAATTGTATATCAATCATGTTTGAGAAAAAAAGGCTCTTTTGTAAAAATAAGAATTATTGGTAAGTTTGTTCTTTTACTAATTAGAAGATTATTCGATAATATTTCTGTCCCATAATGGTTGGCACATTTAGTATGTGAAATGTGTATGAAAATTATTATGGGACAGAGGTAGTAATAAATAATTCCAATCCCAAATTGGAAGGATTGCTGCTAGTTCTAAGCTGGTGCTTTTTAATCCTGATATGCTACAGTGTTCCTATAGAAACTGATTGCAATATATTAGACTATCTCTGTCCCATAATGGTTAGTACATTTAGTGTATGAAATGTGTATGCAGATTTACCAACTATTATGGGACATAGGTATCATTCCAAAGAAAAGAAAATGGAAAACAGTTCCATGTCTTGCAATTAATGACTTTGCAAAAGAAGATTTGGGATGATTTTCTGAGCCTGTTGCTGGCTCTTGGTAGTTAGAAAAGCCTATCTGGGCCAAAAATTACAGAAATGATAGAACAGTGAGAAACTCGCCACATCCCACCTGTGAGAGAGAGTTTGGAAAATAATTATTCTCCGATAAGGTTTTGATGTGTGACTATCAATAGAAACAAAAGCCAAGTATGAGACTCAGATAAAAATTACTCCAAATAGCCAATCAAGGTCAAGGGCTACTGAATGAGATTGTTGTAAGGGTGTAGCAAAGGAGGGAGAGGTGAATATTATGAGGATATGTAGGATAGATATCTTTTGACTCGAGACTTGAAGAGGTTAAGATTGCAGTGTTTGGAGAAATGGTGCCAAATAAAAGTTAATTTATGTCATTTTTAATCTGTTACATTCTTTAAGATGTGCCGTTCAAAAATTATAGTTGTGAATAATGTAAATAACATAAAAGTATTTTAGCATTAAAATCCATTAAGCAGTTAAATTTTAACACCTTTAAAAAAAAGAAATTATATACTATGAAATATAAGAAAAAAAAATTCTACAATCAATACATTGGCTAGATTTTAAAAAAAATTTTAAAAAAAATAAATTTAAAAAGTTTAGTCGCACCAACATAAATTTAGTCTGAAGTCCTGAAGGTCGAAATAAAACTTTTTCCATTTTGTCATACATTTTCCCTAATATTGTTCTTGATATATAAAAAATATATATTGTTATATCATTATACTTTATATAAATCATTAAAGAATAAAGTGATTGATAATTTTATATGTAAAGATGTTTTCATTTTGAATATGATGCAAATATTATTAAATAATCTATATGTAACAACTGCTATATTAAAATGGCTAATTTATTTATAACTTATTAATGGACATGTTTTTAAATATATGATTGCATGTAATATATTAGACTTTAAATTTTTATTCTTAAAAAATAGAGCCAGAATATTTCATTTGTTAGTTTTATACCACATTATTCTCAAAACTATCAGTAAGTTGTTTTTTTTAATGTAGAAAAAAATGAATATTTGTTTAAAGTTGAAAGACATTTTTTTCAATTGAAAAATAACTTTTAATAATGTTTTCAGTTTATTTTAAATTTTTTAGATTTTTTTTAGTTTAATTTTCTTTGTTGTTTTTAAATTTCTTCTTATTGCTTTTCATCTTCTTACTGAGCAATGACTATTCACTGTTAAATGTCATATATATATGATATATGTTAATACATTTACTTAAAATGTAATATTATAATCTGTTCATTATATTACTACTAATTGCATATTTGTTTTTATTTTGAATTTTAATGCTGGCTTCCTTTTTCTTTTGCTTTTTATTTTAGTGCTTTACAATTTTATTTTGTGGATTTCACTTAATTTTTTTTTTCTGTTTTTATATATGATGTCATTCTGGGCAAATTATTTACCCCTATAAAGAACAAAGTAACTAGTTATGTATGCATCCAATGAATGTTGCATCTGATGTCCTGAATTAGCAAATAAATTTGTATAGACAAAGTTACAAAGAACGTTTTTATTCATCATGCCAAACACATTCACTTATTTTTTTTTAAGTTCTACTTTTTTTTAATAATAAATATCATTCTGTGTTAAAAGCTAAAATTCTTACAGAAACAATATTGTAATTGAAAAAAAAAATCATTACAGATCTCTTCTGTTAATTCACCCCAAAATAAAAAGAATTTATTTATATTTACTAAAATTCACACCAAAATTCAGAAATGCCCTTTAAAATTTGTTTGAAAATGCATTCGTTATTATTTTTTGCCTTATGTCTCCAAAGGAACGCGCACAAATTTAAGAATCTATCATGTTCCAATGAGTCTCAAACATGGACTTATTCTTCATTTAGGCATTCTGCCAGGTATATTCCAGCACAATCAATCCTGTTGATCTGTTAAGCTCAAACTCATATCATGTCCTTTAGAGCATTTCACCAATGTAGGAAGAATATTTACTCTCTGTAAGAAGTGAAAACTCCACTCTCCTTGTCACTGCAGTCTTGTATTAACTCCAGCAACTTCATGGCAAGCTAAACAAATTTTGATTTTTAACCCGGATATAAGAGAGATTTTCTCTGGTCCCAAATTAGAGCCCATAATTACCTACACAAAATAGACCAAACCCGGATATAAGAGACTTCTTCTCCGGTCCCGACGACTCTCTTATATCCAGGTTACACTGTAATTTCAAAAGAGTGCCAAAAATTGAATAAAAAAAAAAACACTCTTAAAATTTCTTGGTGTGAATAAATATTTGCAACAAGTATGCAATACATTATTTGTGGTAAATTAACAGAAAAGATTCATCATTACTTATAAATTCTGGTGATTTTAAAAATCTTCTGGCTCTAGTCAGTCATGAATCAAAAAAGTCATGAATGTCCAAGTGTTGATTGAATGTCAATGAAACTAAGTACATCAGCTTTCATTGGTTGCATATAAAGCCCTTCCCACTTCTCACTTGATGTTTTTTGTTGGCTTTACTGACCTTGCTTCTTTCTGCTATTGTTTGCTATCCTGTCGATGTTGTTAGATATTAGAGATGCCAGTTATTACGATAAAAAGGAACTTGTATTTTGTATCAGTTGTTAATTGTTTTCAATGTTAAATTGTTTCTTAATATAATCACCTCATTAAGTAAATAATATTTATCACTAAAAGTTATGGATATTTTCCTTGTTGTTTTCATACAGTTTAAATAATGTTCTGGAGATTTAGAAATCATAATTTTTTTTATTCATATACAGACAAAAAATCATGCAATTTTAGAATATAAACTTCCCTTTCTTTTAACAAAATATAGAAAATTTATATTAACAATTTTGACTCATCTGTCATTTTAATTCTTTCCTTCTATCAAACTATTCTGATCACCATTTTATGAATGTTAGTAGATGATACAGACTGGAAATAAAGCCTTTTATTATTAGATTAAAAATTCACTCCTCTTTTCCTCATGAAACCTATCTTGACGTGACATCTGTCTCACCAATTAGGCTACAGAAAGCTTCTGACTGCCATTCATTTACATCTAATCATGTATCCATTCCCTGATATTTCACAACTGCCTGGTACAACAAGGTGCTGAAATGAACTCAGCCTAGTCCACTTTCAAAAATCTGACCAAATTTCAAAAAAAAATTTTTTTAATTAGAAACATTAAAAATATATATTGTTGACCGAATTCTTGGCGATATTAATTACAATGAAATATGAAGCCATAATCATTTCAGATACTTGATACTATAAAGGATGACACAAGGTCATTTATTACAGTAGAATGCAGCAAAAATGTACAGCCATTTCAGGCAAGCCAGATAATAGTGATTTATTAAGCGTAGTTTAGTTGTGCCACTAGGCCGAAAGCATGGGGCACCCAGTGAGGATCAAACTCACTACTCAGTCATAACTGATCTAGTGAGACAAGTTTTCTAATCATTACAACATGTCAAAGTGCCAGAGTCAAGCCAGATAATACAGAGAATATCTCAACTCTTTATGTTTTTAAAGTAATGGGGGTTAGGTGCTGCTTTTCGGTTTGACTGATAACTTTTCAGCACCCTCTCATACAACATCTTTATTTAAATCTACTAGTATTAACAATGATAGATTTTTTTTTTTGATTTTTAACACACCAAGCTTCTTTTATTTTTAGTAATTAATTCTTCCTCTTTTATTTCTTTCTTCTTAGTTTCAGTTGCTTTTTATTGCAACTCTCAGACTGTCATTTTGGGACCACTAGCAAGAAATATGGACTTTATGAGGAAAAAAAGAAACCAGTTTGAATCACACCTGTTTTTATTTCTAACCCCTTACTGATCGCTAATTTTATAAAAACTAAACATATTTTGGATAAAGACATTGATATATTGGCATCTCTGATATACACTAATGGCTGAAACTATAATTTATGACTAAAATTATTATTATTTATCAATTTATCTTTCCCTGTTTTTTTAAGTTATTTTTTGTCTTTTAATTTTTAAGTTTAATAATTATTTTAAAATTTTAAAATTATTTTAACAGCCTAAATTTATGCCGGTTTTTAAGCATTAAAACTTTACATACTGCAACCATAATTACATTTAATACTCATCAAAATATGTTCTTAAACATCCAGTAACCTAATTTAATTGAATCCATTCAGTATCATAAAGAAAAGGTCATTTCTTATTGAGAGGTTCAAACAAAATAGTCTTATTTTTAATATCCTTAATCTTAAATACTAGCTCTTGGAAATATCCAAGTATCTAAATGTTTTTCTATTTCAATGGTGCAACAGGAAAGGTTGATTTTTTTTTTTGTTTTTAAGA